CATTCTTCACCCCTCTGCTCTTCTTAGTACCACCATCCAAAGTCTCCTCTGTGTATTGTCATTGTGTTTTATCTTGTGTATTCTTCTTATTTATTGTTGTTGTCATCCTGTAAAGCGCTTTGAGAAGCCACCTTTAATGTCACTACATAAAATAAGGTTTATTATTATTATTATTATTATTACACTGATGTTGGTTTACTGCTCATCTGTCAGAGCTGCCTCCTTTGTGCTTCTGTCCCAGTCTTCAGGGATTTTACCCAAATCAGTGAATTTAATCCAAATTCCCACTCGATCTTGATCCTAAAAGTACAGATGAACCATTTCCAGTAGAACTGTTTGATATCGGACTTATATTTTCACTTCATTTTTACTCAGGTATCAGTTTATACAAAAGACAGTTTTTAATCACCTCGAAACAATTTATAGTTACTTCAGTTCCTTCAGTGCAGAGCTCTTTCCAATTGTTTTCCACTCACTGGGAATTTCACCATGACCTACAAATTTATACTTTAATTTCTCCTCCAGCTGTGACCTGAAAGTACAGATGAACCATTTCCAGTAGGACTGCTCGCTGTTATCTGGGGTGATGCGCCACCTGCTGTAAGGTTCACCTGCTTCTCTGTAGGTCTTATAGGGAACAGTTTTAGTAGATTCCCAAGTAGGATAGAAACTCTTGTCACTGCTGACTGAGGTGGTACAAATATCAACATAAAATATATCTGTCCCATGGATATGCCAGCCAGCCAGAGCAGAAGGACGATGAAACTGGACACTGTGATCAGAGTTATGACCAGGGATCGTGTTTGTGCTGATGGCTTTACAGAAGGGACACTGTTCCCAACAGCCACTGAGCGCCTCACACAGAATCTCATCAGGTCTGCGTCTGAAAATCTTTAAGTCAAGGTCAGGTTTGCTGCTGCTTTCTTTCTGAAGACTTTTCAGTAGCTCATCAAGTGATCTGGCCATCATTTCTCTGAGGAACTGCAGGTCTGTGATGTCTTCCTTTTCAATGTTTCTGAAGTCCTGTCTGGGGAGCACCATGTGATCACTGAGTGCTGTACAGAACTCATCCAGCCACAAGGTGGTGCCACCATGTCTGTCTTTCACTGCTGCAGTGACAGTAGTGTTCACTGTTAAAACCTGCTGTACTAGGTCACTCAGATTGGT